GGGTGGAAAAAAAGGAAAGAGGGAAAAAAAGAAGAAGAGGAGAAACTCGCACAACAATTCAAGAAAAGAACTGGAAATCATTCTCTTTAGGAGAAAATGGCTGCAGTTCTCCAGATTCGTTGGTCTGTTCTGTGAGCAGCTATCGTTTGCTCTTACTCAGTCACACCGAGCATATGTACACATATCGTACTGGTAGTGGTCTAATGAAGCTGAGCCAGAGGTAAAATGCACTGTCTATGTGACCTATTTAAAAAGGCTATTAGCATAATATGAGTTCAAGTAATTGCAAATTACTTGGAAACATATGTGAAAGCCCCTCAGGACAGTCGAAAGTTTCACAAAAGGTCATTTTTTTTTTTTTCATTCATATTTTATAAAGAATCCAAAGCAGTGACACAAAGTCTGCAGTCACAGTTAAAAAAAATATAATCAAATTCAAAATGATGTCTGCAGATTGCTACCAGCAGGAAGAGCAGACTTTACCAGCTGTTTTTTTTTTTTTTTTTCTTTTTTTTTTTCAACCGGAAGAGTCGTGGAAGCTGAGAAGGTGGATTTGTACGACACACAAGCTATAAGAAGCCCTGGAGCTATTGTGCCATATGGTGGACTATTCCATGTGGGTTAGCGGAGGGTGGGGCCGCGGAGGGGAGCTGTTAGGTAGGCTTTTTCCATGTCTGGTCACACAAGCTGCGGGTTAAATTATGCCTCATACATCGTGGCTTCACTTATCGATGTAGCTCCGCACTGTGTTGGGGGGGCGGCTATCTCCTCAATTCAAGCAACAAAGTGAAATCCTCTAGTTTATAATTTAACCAACTTTCTAATCCTTTCGACAATCTGAAATGATTCCTCCGATGGCAACTTGTTATGCAGAATCCTATTAAAAGACTCCGTTAGTGGGGTAGTTGTCTTGAAGCTGAGAGGAGACTGTTGCTCTGTGCCAGTTTGCCTCAGTGTACATTGTCGGCAGAGTAGTCCAAAGACTGTCAGGTCCTATGAAACCACATCCACGACTATCCTGGAGGGAGAGAGGAGAAAAAAAAGAGGAAGAATGAAGAGGATGGGGGAGAGCAGAGAGAGACAGAGATTGCCTGACATACTAAGCATTACCATAATTGGCTTTTCTACATGATGGGACAGAGGAAATAATAATGTCATTTTATTTACAGCCTTTCTCTCTGCTGAAACACACACACACTCATGCACGTCGTCCAGGTCAATGACACACACTGATCAGGCCTGTCCAAAGCCATCAGAGGTGAGTGGCAGGGAATGGAGGGGCCGGTGACAAAGCGAAACGGGAGAGAGAAATAAGACTGCCACACCGGAGCTCCCATTTTGAAGGGCCACTAAACGGTGTGAGCCTCGCCGGCCGCCCCGCTCTGAATGCAGCGCCCCGGCTACGCAGGGTAAATCAGCAGGGTGAAAGCTGGCGGAATTGGACATTAGCACTGCAAATGAGAGCCGGGATTGCCCTCTTCTCAGAGACAACATGAATAAATGAAGAAGGTTTAGAGGGGAAAGTGTGTGCTTTGTGTGGGTGTGTATGAAAAACAACGTGGGGTAAAAAGAAAAAAGTGCCCAGTGCCCAGTCATACTCAAGTTATGTCACCCAGTCTCGTGTTATCTCTGAGAACCGGTCAGTACACCAACATCACACCACATCAGTGACACCAACCAAGTGTTGCTGGATTTGTCGCTGTAATAAAAACGTATTTGAACATTTTGTGATATTGGGCAGTCAAAGTCATACTTAATGTAGCTTTAAATTGAAAGCTGTTTTATTAATTATTTCAGTTGTGTGCGCGCAGGCAAGTTAGGGCTGTGTTTTGACATTTTAGATAATGTTGGCGAGGAAATGCCAAATTTTCTTTTTTTACTTTGAGGATTTATTTATTTATTAAAATTTTTATTTATTTATTTTTTTTTTCATTTTACAATTGTTGCCAAACTTGACGCAAATGTTACATTTCTTGACAAAAGCAGCCCCACAAAAACTTTACTTGAATAAAGTTCAGTGGCAAATTATTTAAATCAATAACTATCCAATTAGAGAATGAAAAAGCAAGTTTATGAATCTGACCAGATTATTCAATGCCAACTTTTGGAACTCGTTGCTATGGACATATTTTCAGTTGGAAAGTATTGAGGTTCTATATCAAGGCCGAGTCCAGGCATGTGTGTACATGTTTGCATGATCCATGCATGTGTGTTACATGTGCTTTGGTAGCAAGGAATTTGTTTTCTCGACCTAGTCACATTTGTTCTTTCAAATGTGTATGAAAAGCAAGGTGTAGTGTGTAGTGTGTGTGTGTGTGTGTGTGTGTGTGTGTGTGTGTGGGGGGGGGGACCTCACACAGCTTCCTGCCTTGGGGAGTGATGTAGTTTGGGGGACAGGTGTGTGTGTGTGTGCGAGTGTGTGAGAGAGACTGGGGGGTTGTCCTGTGGTGTCACCTGTCTGCAGCAAGAAATCCTGGACTCTGAGCACAACAATAGTGACAGGCTCCTCTCCAGACGCAGATGGCTTGTACTTAGTTTAGATTGTACTTAGTTTGTTGGATGTAGTTCAACTTGTTTCCCTGTCTTTGTTTTTTTCTGTTAAATATGCGCACACACTCTCTCACACACCTCTTGTTCGCTGGCCTAAACACATCTTTTCTCCTCTCTTTTCAAAACTTCCCCTCTTTTCCCTATCCTCCCTGACAGCACAAAGTGGGCTTACGCTTTTGACTGACAACCACAACAGACACCTTCCCCCACTCCTCTCTCCTCCACCCCCGTTTTAATCCCCTCCCTATCCCTCGCTCCCACCCTCTCCTCTTCCTCTTTTGTTCTGAGTGACGCTCGAAAGCCGCCGTGTCAGCATCTTTTCCATCTCTGATTGCCTTATTAGCCGGCGGTGGCACCCGCAGCTTTTCTGACACAGATGGTGAAGGAGGAGGCTTCGTGTGAGGGGTTGGGGGGAAAAAAAAAAAATGGCTGACTTGTGTTTGTTGTTGTTACTTCCCCCTCCCACCTCTTCTCTGGCTTGTTTGCGTGGACACTGACACCCCGGGCTGACACTGACACACTCCTGACACTGATGCCTGTCAAGGCAACATACGGAGGATGGCAGGGAAAGACTAGAATTTAGTGTCAGTGTGCTTTTGGTGTCTACGTGTGTGTGTGTGTGTGTGTGTGTGTGTGTGTGTGTGTGTGTGTGTG